TATAAATTTGTTATTGGTATTATTATTATTAGAGTAAATTTTTATGTAAAATGTATTGAGTAGTAAAACATATTGAGTGACTTTATTATTCCATTTATTTTATATCATGTATTCTAATAACTTTTGGTTTTTGAAGTAAGTAATGGATGACCAGCCAAAAAACTAAGAGAAAATAACAGTTATTTAGTTTAAAATTAAATAAAATGTTTTAGTACATTGTTTTTGTGTATTATAGATAAATACTAAATACTAATGATTTATGCACATTCATATTTTATTGTATTTCACTATGAACTATGTGGTACTTTTCTGTTATCCCTACTACCGCTCGATGCCGCGACTACCGCTTTACGTTTTATTGATAATTTTGAAGACTTTTTGTTTTATATTATAATAACTATCCAMTGTTGTGATAATTTTAGAATTTGTAATTTGATGTTTTGTGATAATTTTGACGATTTTATGTTTTATACACAATTTAAGTTAATACTATTGTAAATCGTGGTTTTATACTATAACTCTCCACTACTGTGATAATTTATGTGATTGCTGATAATAAACGTTATACTAATATACATTATTACATAAATGGCAATTTATGATGTGTATTATTTATTAAAATACGGAACTATCTGGATAGTACTATAATGGTCGAAATAACACGATTGAGAGTCGCGGTAGTAGGGATAACAGAAAAGTACCAACTATGTTTTTTGAAGCCTATTTTTTATAATATTATATTATAGCATTGGAATGTTCAATCAATCTTAATTGTTATTTTTACTTGTTATGTTTTTTTTAGTCTGCTGAAAAAAAAAATTATCTTCCTCCAGAACTTATATCAAAGTTAAAAGTTGAGACAGTACTAAACGAATACGGTGAGAGTATTGATGATATTTCAGACCAGTTAATTAAGATAATAAATAAACCAATATTACCGAATGGAAATAATGATTTTAAAACAACCTCAAATTGTGAGGTAGGTTGTAAGAATTAAAATTTCTTAAAAATGTATAATCGATAATTGATATTAGATATATAATTAATATATTTGATAATTTTTATTCACTTATTTTTTTTATAAATATGTAAATAATCAAAATATATATTGTATGTTGTGTATAACTAATGATTATTAATAAATAACTTTTATTGATTAACTTTAAGTTCCAACATAAAAATAGTATGTAATATAAGTTTGTCAATACATATAAAGTATGTTCTACTATTTCTAGGAACAAACACAAGATTCAAGCTCTGAAATTATGGACTTAGTATCAATAAAAAAAGAAGTTGATCAATGTATTAACATTTTAATGAACAAAAACATGACTCCTTTCATAAATGAGGGCTCAATTAAAATGACCTCACAAGAGTTTCTTGAACTAAYAGAAAAACAAAAATTGATTCATACCGAAAACTTAGAATTAAAAGTGGAATGTATCCATAAGGTTAATATAAATTCATTTAGGCTATGTAATAATAATATTGTTGGTTATAATAATATTTTTATTTTTTTTAGCTTATTAAAGCTGAACAAGATTTACAGATTTTAGCTGATTCACTAATAGTACAGGTATAATACTACAAATTATTATTAATTACTTTGGTATTACTTCCTAATAATACAATTATAACAAAAGAAGATTAGAAATGTTGAAAAGTACTAAAAATATTTTTTAATTTTAATGTATGATTAAACATTATTGATTTATATTACTATTCATGTTATATGATGTAGTCTATCCATAATTTAATAATTCAAGTAGTGATTTAGTTTTAGCTACTGTAACTACTTTTTTATTTGGTTGATATGCTACAGTAGATCAAAAAATCTCTCTATAGGTACTGTTAATAGATTTTTTCACTAATACACAGGGTGTCCCATGAGGATTTACCGATTGCGATATTTCCCGAAATAATGGTGATATCAAATTCTGGTTTTGTAATATGACTCACAGGTATAAGAACTACAATTATTTCATTTTTAATTTATCTTAATGTTTTGRTAAAAAAGTTTTTTTTTTAATCTAAACTTTGTGGATACAATTAGTTTCAGCAATTACAATTAAAATTACAATTACGAATTACAAAATACAAGTACAGTAAACACAATAAAAAAATTTAAAAATAAAAAAGTTAAAAAATATATTTTTTTATTTAATTATTTCCAAAAAAATTGACCATAACAATTTTGTAATTATTTTTCATNTAAACACAATAAAAAAATTTAAAAATAAAAAAGTTAAAAAATATATTTTTTTATTTAATTATTTCCAAAAAAATTGACCATAACAATTTTGTAATTATTTTTCATTAATTTCCCGATTTTTAATTTTTGTTTTAGTTTCGAGAAAAATTGTGAATTATTTAACATCGTAATGTTATCAAACATGTGACCATGCAACCCACGCGCATTCTCTTACGGCGGGCCGAATACTTTTCTGTGTTCCTAATAGCTATAAATGTTATAATCATATTTTTTTTCTTCAAAACTAGAAAAAAATATTAAAATCAGGAAATTAATGAAAATAAAATTTAGAAACGTCAATATTTTCAGAAAAATAAACTTTTACAAAATGGCTATCTTTAATTTTTTTGGAAATAATTAAATAAAAAAATATTTTTTTTACTTTTTTTACAAAAACATTAAAATAAATTTAAAAATGAAATAATTGTAGTTCTTATACCTGTGAATCTTCTTATAAAACCAGAATTTTTATGTATCCATTATTCCGTGAGATATCACAATGGGTAAATCCTTGTGGTATACCTACCCTGTATAATAGTAATTTAAAAGTTTAATTACTTAATTTCCTAAAATAGTTTATAAATATACATGTTAATAATAAAATAATTGATATGGATGCTTTATTTTTTTTAAACCAWTTATAATGTGTTACTTAATTAATGTTATTATTATAGTTATTCAACTTTTAAATTACTATATTATGTACTATATTATGTGAGACTTTTTAGACCCTTTGTATGTTTGCCAATATAATTTAAATCAATTACAATTAATAGATATTTTAATATAATAATAATTTTTATTCTATGAAAAGCTTAGTAATATACTTAAAAATGTATTTATATTTTGGTTGGTACATACAAAATAAAAATATTTTACTGTCTGAATTGCCATTAAAACATGTTCTAGGTACTGCCATATTTTTGTATACAGCAATTATTTAATGTATTGCACCCTCCATTGTAATGATTGGATAAAATTATTACTAATTTGTCGAGTCATGTGTTGATTGACTGATATATTTCAATATTTGAAAAGTATTTCTTAGCTTAACTGTTTATATAGGTCTATAATATTTTTTTATTCTGTTTAGAACAAATTTCTGTTACAACTTTAACTTAAAAACAGTTTCAATATGAAATATTTCTTGAATTTTCAGTTGATCAAACATTT